TCTATCTATCTATCTATCTATCTATCTATCTATGACATAACCATGAGTGGCTGATTGGACATTAATGTCTCCATTTTATGTCAACAAGGAGTCAAGAAGATCTTTTTAAAAGATGTGATTTGTATTCAATAGTGAATAGATATATAATATATATTATAATTATAATTATTTCCTTTGAGAAGCGTTCGGTAAAATTTCAAAATATTCCCATTGAGTTTGTATGATTCATTGGGGAAAAACTGGATCCCTTTCACACTTTTTATTTAGGCATATTTGGAATTCTGCTGTAATGATGCAGAAAGTATTATAGTAAATAAAGAGACACAAACAAATAAGGAGATGATGTGAAGAGGATCAAGTTGGTTAATATTTCTGCTCTTTAGCAATAAGTCAGATTAACTCTTGCTCACAGTGTAAATATACATCTGGATACGTTCCACCTTACCTCTGAATCAGAAGCAGTAGCTACATCTGCATGAGGATTTAAAAATGTGTTAAAAGCTAAAGGACACATGTGAATAACACTCAAAAAATGCTTCTTCCTCAAGCTGTTTTTAACTCTGGGGAAGATATATTTTATATTTTCCTATCAGGGCTAATAATTTTCATCATAAACATAAATTGTGAAAAGACCAACAGTAATCTGCCCGATATGCGCTACGTGTTCCCCCATTCTCCTGGGCTCCAGGAAGATGTGAAATCTTGGCTATGCCAGATGGCCTGAGGGCCTGATGGGGGCTCGCACCATTGGATTGGCTCATGGGGTAATCGATTCTACCCCCCCCCCGTCTTCTTGAATGTTTTAGTCTTTTTTTGTATTGTATATAGTCGTTTTATATAGTTTGATTTTTTAGCTAAATTAATGTAGTTATTTATATTTTTAACTGTTTTTGAGGTTTCATTTTAATTGTGAGCTGCCCAGAGTCACCCTCTGGGGGAGATGGGCAGCATATAAATTTAATAAATAAACAAATATTCTCAAAAGGCAGAAGATGGGACCGTCTCATTACCAATCAATAACCCTCCTAAGCATA